TTCGACAGAGGCTCAGGTGCTTGCAAGGCCCAGACTGAAGGTGGTCAGAAGGACACTGTCTTTCTCCTTCGTAAGGGTGCGACTCTGAAGAATGCCATCATCGGAAAGGACCAGATGGAGGGCGTCTATTGCATTGGTGGCGGTTGCACTATCGAGAACGTGTGGTTCGAGGACGTCTGCGAGGATGCCATCTCAATGTAAGTCAAACTATTGTCCCGTCAGAGTTCTATCAAGAAGTCTGTGTATCGAGACTAACCTCGACTTCAGTAAGGAGGATGAGGCCGGCACCGAGACTCGCATCATTGGCGGCGGTGCGTATAAGGCCGCAGATAAGGTGGTTCAACACAACGGCTGCGGAAGTGTCAGCGTAAGTATACGGCGCTCGAGGCGTGAGATTCATATGTGCCAGTTGCTCACGAGAATGATAGATTTCGAACTTTTACGCCTCTGACTACGGAAAGGTCTACAGAGCCTGCGGCACGGTGAGCTGTTTTTTAGAGCAAAGCCCCTTTACAACCTAACACAATCGACTTACAACTATATAGTGCGATGCTTGCAAGCGTACCGTCACCATCGAGGGAGTCTCTGCTTATGGCGGCGGCGAAGTTGCGGGCATCAACGAAGAGACTGGCGATGAAGCGACTCTCGTCAATGTCTGCACTGATGCTAAGACGCCATGCCAACTGTACAACGGCCCCGGCGAAAAGTCTGGCTCTTGTTGATTTCAGGTCTACTCAAAACCTAACCCAAGCTTGTGGGATTGGAGCAGAGCTATGATGATTGATCAGTTTTCATGATACGATGCATCCGCCGCCCTTCAAGATTGACCAGCCAAGGGAAATTCATGTATATACTTCTTCAAAGCACACTTATTGGGCTTCTCAAGTTTATATTGCTATCTTTTACAAGGGGTCATCACTCAGTCTTTCTAACTTACCTAGATAAGTATGGTAAGTGTCGAAGAAGATGGCAATCCGAGGGCCGAAAACTGCAATCCTTCGTGGTGCTAGCTTTGAACAACTGCTCACCGTTGAGCATTGCGAATTTGGACAGCCTCACGATGCACAACTAAGATTGATATGATAATAGTTTGATTAAGTTCTTCTGGTGACATGACAAAAGGAACTGTGTAGTCATTATATCCATCCTTCCAAGTACGCCAAAACGCAAGATCCTAGGTATCATATTCTATGCCCAAGTTTATAAGAAGAAAATTCCCGTGGTAAGCACCAAACTCCACGCTATGCAGTTGTAAATGTTCGTGCCAGAACCTAAGGCCGCCGCGCCCGAATCATCATTGCTCTTGCCTGAAGACGAATTGCTCGAGCCACCCGACGACGACCCAGGGGTGGAAGTAGTCGCCGTACCAACCCCCTGAGACGAAGTCGCGAGCCCGCCACACGCAGTGCTATCGGGCTCTGCGCCACCTACCTTGGCGCCCACGTTGGCGACCACGGCCTCCGTATCGCGGACGGGGATGCTTGCTTTACCGTCGCTACCAACCTTGACGGTGATCTCGTCGCTAGACACCTGGCTAAGCTTTCCGTCGTTGCCCTGCTCGAAGCTGAGGCCATTCCACGTTGTCCCGCTCGTCGCGTCGGCTCCGTCGCCGGTCAGATACGCCAGGTGGAGCGTCTCGCCGGCGAGGGAAGAGGGCAGGGTAACGTCGACGGTGATGCTGCCCTTATTGGCGTCAGAGACGTTGGCGACCTTGCCGTTAAGCAGGACGAGGGAGGCAAGCGAGTCGCCTTGGTACACCGACCAGGCTTTGATGTAGTCATTGTAGCCTGAGGGATAGTCCGTAATCTCAGCCTGGGCAACGCGAGCGGTGCAGGAGCGGCCAATAGTCTGGGCAAAGGCGGCCATGCCGTAGTAGAGCGGCCGGACAAAGCGGTCGCGTCCGAACATGGCTGTCGGTTGCCAGGCGCTAGCATTACTATCATACGTCATGTGGAACTGAACAGACGAGATGTTGATCGTTGTGGCGTAGAGGAGGAAGTTGAGAGTCCACAAAGCGGCGGCGAATGTGTTGCTGAGTCCCTCTACACCGAGCGGTCCGACGACGGACATCTCTCGCAGCGCAAAAGGATGCGTAGTCTTTTCGGCTTGTGTGATTTGAGCCTCAATCGCCGAGTCGAATTGCGCCTTTGTCGTTTCAAAACGCAGCATGTAATCGAGAGTCAAGGGATACGGGAAAGACCCGACGAAGTAGTAGTAGTTGTGCTGGTTCCAACTCGTGACGAAGCCAACATCAGAGTTATTAGCCTTATCGTCAATGCCGTTCTCGACAAGATCCTTGATCTCGAAGCCCGTGCCAGCTACCCAGGCGGTCGAAGCAGACGCCTCGAAGAAGTCACTGTGCAGTCCGCGAGGTTCGAGGACTTCTTCCCATACAGCATTGGCACGCTCCCGCCATTCCTTCGTGTACTCCGTACCGGACCAAGTCGCCTTCTTGCGGAAACCGTTGTCGCCATAAAGGTCTGGCTCGTTGCCAAATTCGAAGGACATGATGTTGAGGTTGGTGCACCGGTCGATAATCTGAGACGCCATAGTTGTAAGCCTCTCGAGATAGTCGGACTCTGCGTAGCCCAGGTTGAGACCCCATGTAATGGGCGTGCCCTTGGGCAGACGGTTTGCGATCTCCATAAAGCGGGGGCCGACAATGAAGTTATCTGCAGGGACATTCCCCGGCGCGGTAGGGCGGGGATTTGGCTTGATAAGCCATTCATCTTGTGAGTCGTTGTAGACGAGGTAGTCTTGAGTGTTTCCTCCCAATCGCATGTGAGGTGGACGACCGGTGAAGTTCGCTAGGTTATCGAGGAGATTAAGGGTTAGGTCGTTTGGTGTTTCGTCGCCCATGAAGTAAAAGAGGTGGTCGAGCTCGATGCCGAAGCCGGCGAATGATGGGTCGATTGCTGCCGAGACATTACTGGGGACTGATTCGGAGAGCGTTAATGACAAGACGTTGTCAGCAGCGAGAGCGGCAGATATGAGGCCGCAGCCGACGAGAATGCGACTCTGTAACGGCGCCATATTAGGATAACGACCGGAGAGGGAAGTGGCCTGGATTAGGTTGCGGGTGGCTTGCTCGGTTGCTATGAAGGCCTAAACCATCGTGAGAACTCGACGACGTAGCGGGACACCCAAAAGACTTTAAAGACAATTAGAAACAAGACCGAGACAGGCGGTCTCTCCAACGTCGGTCTACCCCATCCATTTCATCATTGTAGTGGATCAAAGCCGGAGCTTTTGCGCCCTCGTGCGGCGTTGTCTGTTCAAACCCTTGCTGGTACCAAGAGTCGAAGAGACGTTTGCTCCAGTCTGACGCGTACCACCAGCTTGGAGTGCTTGGGAGCGGTGGGAGCTTGGTGAAAAAAACACACTAGAATTCTGAAGGATGGGCGGCCCAAAGTCACATAACCCAGTTTTCTCGAACCGCAGTAGCAGATCTGTTTGGGACGCTTCACCGAGGCCATTGGAGAGCCAGAGAAGCCTAGACCACGCGCCACAAGAAATGCCATGCCTCTTTAGGCGCCACGATGCCGTTGTACCGTGATTGCGACAGCCCGTTGGTGGGTTAATGACATCAGTCCGGGTTGCACACCTTGTAGCACCCTGTCCGGTTCGGTGGGCCAAGCGTTGGCAGATTTGGCTTAACTGTGGCACTTGACCGATGTGTTGCGTTTCCCCCGCGCGAGAAACGTGCGTTTGGCCTGGGTCAACAGGGGTGGAGGTGAGAGAAGGGTGATGTCAAACAGACGTTGGTCGTGCAGAGTCTGCGGAATTGTCAAGGAACCTGGAAGAGTCAAAGATAATACAGGGATAACAGCAGTTGTTTCGCATTCCCTCCAACCGGTTGCGGTTAGAAGACGTGACAACGCCGCAGCAAGCCACAGCTGCCACACCCTCTCACCACAGATCCAGCCATCCATCTCGACGTTACTCGGAGAGACTGGATGGAAATGAGGATAGCGTGAATGCAGCATAGAGTTCACGGAGAATTTGACCTTCCCATTGTCGCTTGCCATCCCGCTCAATTGCCACAGCCCGTCGGTTCGGATTCTCAAGCTGACAATCTCACCTCTCCCGTTTCCTGCAGGAACAATGGAACGGAAAATGTCGATTACTGTCGATCGTTTTGTTCTCCAAAACGAAATTAGAAACACTTCGCTCCACCCACGTGTTGAAGCGGTACACTTCTTTCCACGGAGCTTTTCAATGGAACCGAATACCGATTTTCAGGGGAGCCAAAGCAGCTGCAGGACGGGAGTGCAAACAAACTGAGGAGCACACAGAAATGAGAGACTGTCTGTGAAGCACTTTGGAAGGAAGATGGAAGACCACGTCGAGTTGGCTGACGTCAGTTCAGATGCAGGGCATTGGGTCCATTGTGGTCACATGGCAATCCCAGTCTTATTAGACGCCAAGTTGAATCCCTCGCATCTCCATCTCCCTTGCCGGGCGGTTCGTTGTTGTCAACAATGACGAACCAACAGTCATGATCGGAAATGAGATGGCCGGGTAAAAGGCCCAGGCGCTTGCATGTCTGTCAACTACCTAGAGTACCTTAGATAAAGCTTTGCTCTCAATTGACTTGATTTAGTTGATTGACCAAGGACAGATAGGAAGAGGCTTGTACTTCCAACAGACATGAAAGGACGCCAATACTGAATGGGATTGCTATGAATACCCATCGCGTCAAATGCACTGAGGGATTTTGCTGTTGTCCAAGACGTAGCTAGGCCTAAAAGGACATCCCAGCCATCTCTTTGGGGGCCGAACGGGCGGACCGGGAACACGGCATGCTCAACGGATCTGATGTCCAGATCTGTGCGCAATACTCGCTCTTCTTCTTCTCCTTCTTCTCCTAGGGAACCTAGACACGTTATCCTCCGCATTCCAACCCCGGCAGCAAACTAGTTCTCATTACTTCGGATTTTGGAGTCTGTAAGTCCCTCTCCTCGATGAACTCGTCTCTGCTCGATCCGACATCGACACATTCAGCCCGTGGTCCACTCAATGAACACCCATGCCTTGGCAGCCGGGCCGTAGTCCTTGCAGATCGAGTCCCGGGCGCCCCGTGCACTCGGAACTGTCATCATGACTTCTCTTCGTTTGGCTGCAGCAAGCCCAATCTGGCGAAGAGCGGCCGAATCGTCGGAAGTGCCGGTAGCGCGGTCAATCCGGCAAAGCATCACATCACGGCATCGGGTCCCGCACCCGAGCGTGGCCTGTGCAGGACTGTCACGATTTTGCACAGGTTCGAGATATGAGGAGTCGCATTCATCAAGGTGTGCTGTGCCATTCTTCGCTCTTCGGTAAACGGAACATCTACAGATTTTTGTAGTCTCAGCCCCTGACACTGCCTTCCGTACTTTACCCAGGGCATGTCTACTGTTCAGCCACATATAATTGCAGTATTTAGCAGGACACAGTGAAATGGTGATTCTGAAGTCTACATTGAGTCTCCACTCTTCCCGCAGTGTGCGAAGCAATTGTCGCATAGCTCTCATTTTCCATCGTATATCTTTGGACCTCGACTTAGCAGTCTAGTCATTTTGAAACTCTGGGACATGCAGGCTGTGGGCTGAGTTGCAGGAGCTGATCGTCTCGCAATCGGAGTTACCTCCAAAGAGCTCTTCGGTGGTTCTAATCACATATTGAGGGCCCAAGTAGTGACATTACGCGTAGTTGATGCCCCTAGGGCTGGTCTATTTCTGATGCTCTACAAAAACAGCATCTGCAGACAGCGCCTCGTAGTCGCTTAGCAATAAACACAAGCACCAGTCGGGCAGTATCCATGGCTGCAGCTGAAGCTGCAAAGCCCCTTGTAGCTTTCGTCCAAGCCAGTAGCAGGGCATCCATCACGACCGTCTCCGCCAGGGCTGGTCGTCTGCTCGCCGTACGCAGAGCACTCGCACACCTCATCAGGGCAGTATCCGTTGGAGCAAGAGAACTCGCAGAGACCGGTGTAGTTCTCGGACAGACCTGCCTTGACCTTGCCAGAGACGCAGAAGGATCCAGTGGAGGTGGGTGCGGGAAGGCTGGAGGTGGTGGTCGCCGTGGGAGGGGTCGTTCCTGAGGGCACGCACTTCTCCTTGATGTAGGCGGCTGCGTCGTTGGTGTAGAGCTGGAAGTAGTTGGTGTGGGCATCCTCGCCCATCGTTCGGCCCTCGCCGTAGGCGCAGACAATGTCCTCGCCGTTGCACCAGGAGCGCAGGACGCCGGAGAAGTTGTTGAGGTTGCTCAGGGAAGAGCTCGAGCGGGCCATCTGACCACTGAAGCTGGAGCCGGCCTCGACGTTGTAGCTTTGGTTGGCGATGTGAGTCGGGTCGCCGAAGAGGAGGGCGGCGCAGACTGTAGAATGCCGTGTTAGATCTTAACCTGCAACTCGCGTAGTTGCCATGGAAAACGTACCCTGGGATCCGGGAGTGGCGGTGGCAGCCAACCCAGAATCAGCGAGGATATCTCCAACAACATTGGCACCTTCGCTGTAACCACTCAGAACGACTTTGGAGCTAGGGCATTTCTCGCTATATGCCTTGACTTGGGCGACTCCAGAAACACGACCCTCCTCAACAGCGGCAGGGTACCCAGAGGGGTTGGACGCATCGAATAAGATATCTTCATAGTCGCAGCTGGAGAGGCCATTGCAGGTGGCGTCAATAACGAGCTGCTGTCTGCCCGGGTAGCCCTCGTTCCATCCGCGGGCGAGGAAGATGTGCAGATCGGTGCAAGATCCTGTGCCGGTGGACTGGCGCTTTCCTGGGGCGGCAGAAGCCAGGAGGGCAAAGTTGAAGAGGACGGCGGCTTTCGGGGACAACATCGTAAAGCTGTTTTGATTATTATTAGGTCTATTAAATACGATTGCTGAGAAAATTGTACAAAAAACGAGTGACAAGGTCGCGACGAAGAAGCCGTGAAGAGACAGGAACTGCGCGCCAAGGGGGTCCGGGGAAAGCGGAGGTTTTAACTCAATCTTCCATTGCGGCTGAACTTGGTGGACTGGGGATTACCGCATGAGTTCATTGTCGCATCAAGTAAATGCATCTTTCCCCTTATTGCTGCTTCTCCGAGTCAGCCGATAACAAGTTATTGTGGGCTTCTTCGGACTTCATCCTCGTAAATAGCAAGATAATCGCGAACTGGTATCATTGCAGGGTTGTAAGTGGGACGTGCACACGCCTGTTGCTGGGCAATACGAGGACAACTGTAAGCACAGCAGTGGAGGTCGCAAGATGAGGCTTATGCAGCGTGTGTACAAAAAAGGGGCACGACATAACAAGAGACTGGTTGGGAATTGGTTCGAGTTGCTGAATCTCATGATGGCCGGAGGCGCGAACTCTGGGCTTTCTATCCGCACCGATATGTAGTACTAAGACTATGTAAGTATGACAGGGGAATGACAGCAGCAAATAAACAGCGCTTGTCGACTATCTCAAACGAGACTTAGCCAACATACTTCTACACGAGCGCCGACAGAGTCATGTCACGCACTGTAGAAAGCAATAACAGACAAAAGGATTCGAGCTATTCGCATAGCTTACACATGTGTGCGGTGAAAGCCCGAGCCTTATCCTTGAAACTAACCGATGCACAACATCATGTTGTTTTTATTCCGACTTTTGAGTTCCGCGGCTCGCGTGGGATAAGCGGCGAGCCCGCAATTAGGGAAAAGACTAGCAAGGATATGATGCGCCCGACTCCACAGACGCGAATCCAGCCCGCTTCGCTTCATAGAGGTTCAAACAATCTCGATAGATCAACGGTAGATGCAACTGAATCTATGATTGAGGCTTCTAGTCTGAGTTCTCATACGAGTTCTTGTCAGTAGTGACGGTAACTTACAGCGGCCTTCATCCACTTCTAGAAATCTTAGTACCCAAGTAAGTTACCTTGATATCGAACAAATCCAAGATAGAATATAATTTGAGTCGCCCAGAAACAGGTCGAGCAAGGGTTTGAAATACAGGTATTCTTTACGGGAAGTGGGAACATGCAATTCTCACATCGGATTGACTTCCTTTCCCACTATCCTACCATGAGGCTGACACCAAATGACAGCGACTCTTGCCATTTTCGTTGCATGTTGCTACCCTGAACAGCTTCGATACACAGCATCTATCAAACGGCTTCATCACCCCGAGGCTGGCCCCTCCGCTGTTTATAGCGTGTTCTCGGTAGCTGTGATGGCAAGGCATCCCTATCCGAAGCTCCGTGATACGCAGTCTGTTGATCAGCGTAGTAGGCACTGCTTCTCCTCCTGGGCGGACTCTTCTCTGCTGCGTTTTCCCGTATTGCTCCCCAGCCACCGGATCTCGTGAACACATCATTCCTGTATTCCGTGCCGTCTCCCGGGGAATAGATAAACTGATCGCGCCTTTGCAGAGGAATGTGGTTGAACCGCCAATCCCAAATAGCAGCATAGCATCCGCGATAGGACCCAAACGCTACAGTAGTTCCGATTGTGCTTCCAGCAACGATATCATACCAATTATGAGCCTGATCTATGGTGAGAGAACACGCGATAAGTAGGGCGCCCAGAAGTGGCGCAAAAGTCAATGCAACCTTCCAAAGAGCCGGGCGGTAGTCTGCCCAGACCTTGAGTTTAGCGTTCAGATACAAAAATAGGTAGACGTAACCTGCGAACGCGGCCGTTGAATGGCCAGAGGGGAAGGATGTCATCGCATTCTTCAGTTTGTCGTGGTCTGGTTGCGTGCAAACATCGACTGAGTACATGATTTGCTGGAAGCCAACAGCATTGAGTCCCGTTGCGTTATTGCTAGCTGCTCGCGTGACGTCGGGCATACAGACAGCCAGAAAATAGGGTCGGAATCCGCCAATGAGCTGTTTAACGATGACTTGTATCAGCGTGGCGAGCGAGATGGAAAATATCAGGCCGATGATGCCGTTGTTCACGTCCCAGATGTTCCTCACGCGGAACTGGGCGAGGAGAATGGCGGCGATTGGTATGGTGGCGGACAACAATGCAGACAGCCATGTGCCGATGATCCAGCCGCGATCAGGATATGCCCACTGAGGGTATACGATATCTCCAGAGCCGTTGAAGGTGATGGGAAAGTTGCGCGTCGCGGCTAGAGGCGCATTGTAGATCTGCAACAACGCGTCAGTTTTCCCTGTCACCTAATTCCGCTTGATTCAAGACTTACTCCCAAAGCAGCGTCACCTATTGCCGACATGACAAATATGTCAAACCAGGTGATTTTCAGCCATGCTATGAAGAAGTCCCACGAAGCCTTTACCGAACGGAGGGTGTCGCTAGTGAACTCAGGCAACGGATCATGATCGCCATGAACACGTTGCATACGATTGCGCTGACGCATGCTATAGAGTCTAGAAAACGATTGATCTTCAGCTTTCCAAAGAGAACCGTCAGAACAATGATTCGCGCTTGTCGTTCGAAGAAGAGCGGATGGTTGAGTTAAGCTAACGCAAAGTCGACGCAAGGCAAGTCCTAGTGCAGAAGAGACATTACTGGGAGTGCAGCATAAGAGCTTTTCCGTGAAATTCGGCGGGAATGTGAATCAGAAGTATAAGAAAACGTTGCTAGCCATCCAATGTTTTGACTGCTTCCTGTTACAGCTGACCTCGGCGACACGGCGCACGGTAGGCGCGCAGTCTCTTCTGATACTCCAACGGCCAAATTCGATCTCGCGTTGGTCTGTTTCGGCGTGTTCGATCCGATGGGCTCAGTCAGCCGCAGGACACTTGACTGGACAAGAAAATGCGACGGACGGCTGCCGGGAAACTTTACATTTGGCCAGCAGGTTCTTGACACTCTAACGGGTTGACGGTGAGTAGAGCCGCCCGAGAGATTGCGGGCTTTTAACCTGCCTTGTCTGGCGCTTGTAGATTTTCCAAGCTCAATTCCAAGTTCGCGAGTCAGCCCTCCTGCTTTTAGAACAATGCCTCCGTTACGCAAAGCCTCTTGATTCCGGGCGCAATCCTGGACTTTAATCACTTAGTCCAGACGAACACAGTAGGAAGTCTTCTCGAAAGTGTGGAATGAAGGTTAAGCAAAACTTCGAATCAGACGATGGTAGTCTTGTCAAAAGCCTTGACAGATGGATGCCGAAGCCTTCGAATGATCAAGTCTCGGCAGGCGTGCTCCCTATCGCAGTACGTAATTAGTTCAGGTTGCAACACTTGATCAACGTCCAGAAACCAAGAAGCAGGCTTACCTTTTGGGCTACTACATTATATTAATGACATTCAGAGGGAATTAACTTACATAAGGTATTATGACTAACAAAATACATCAAGGTAGGAAGCCTGATGCTGATATCATTTAGCATGTATGCCTGACTACCCGGCTTGTGTCATAATCAATAGGGGAGTGATCCGCAATAGACCCTAGTCTCACAGTGATCAAATGGACTGAAAAGTTGCTTCCAGTGGATCGAAATGTCATGTTCACCAGATCTTGTATTCTCAAGAACTCAATATTCAGCAACATTAGTAAAGGTACATAGAATCGGGCTTTTCTACCCTAACCTTGTCATCCTGACATTCATTGTCCAGCACACTCACGACCGTCGGTGCAAACATCAGACCTTGTTTTCGGGCTTCACCTCATACGTAGTTGTCACAACAATACCACCATGCCCGTGCTGCCCACTAGATTTGCTGTTTAAACTGCCGTCGCGACCTCCATTTTGAGGCCAGCTGGCTGAGTCGGACGATTTGACAATCTGCTCTTCGCTTGAGTTGTTGTCCAGCTCCGTCATGTTGTATTTGTTGTACCGTCTCTTTGAAGGCAGTCCAGATCGATCGACACTTTGCCCTACACCTCCTATTGTGACTAACTGATGGCCGTATCTGTCACCTGAGCCGGGGTACTTCTGGTTGGCTCCACTGCTGCCCTTAGTAGACCTCAACCAATGTGAGGAGGAAAACAGTGGTCTGATGCAGGCTGCGTTCACGGCGATGATTCCAACAAACTAAATAATGTAAACCTCGTTAGTCCTGTAACTTGTACCAATGTTTCCTTCCAATCATAAACTTTGGGAAGCACATACAGTCTCTCTTATTGCCCAGATGGTGCTGACATTGATACCTTCAATGTCCTTGAGCGACAGGATGCAGCGAAGCAAAGCGGCGATCATGACGAAGATGCCCGAGCAGAGTAGGAGTCCAATAGCAAGCTTTCGTTTGATACTGAGCTTGACGGCCCACAAGAGTGGTAGTGGTATTGATACAATGAGGAAGTCTGTTCTGTTGTAAAGGCTTCGTCAGTCATAGGTATCGAATCGTCGATTGTTAGACTTACGAAATATTGAGTACCACAAGACTCAAGTAGTTCGCAACGGCCAAAGTACACTCGTCTGATTCATTATCAGTAACTTGATAGTTCTCCTCTGTCTTGGGAATAACGTACCTCCTGGATAAGGGACCACCTGCCAGTTCCTTTGAACAGGTGTACAGTGCCCCCAAATGACAGATATGACACCAACATAGGCTAATCCTGTCGCTACGGCTGTCCATTTGACAATCTTCTGCTGTCTTGTAGCAAGCCTATATCATGTCGTCAGAGATGAGACCAATTTCGCTTTCCGAGGACGGGGGGAAACACGAACGTGATGCGACTGAAGAAGAACAAAATGCAAGCTTTGAGACACCAAATGAGGGTTACATAAAAGTTCCAGCCTGCCAGCAGGCACTTGGAACCAAACTCAAATTTGGCTATCTCCTCCGATGTCAACGTTGCGCCGATATCATTTGTGATTCCGATGTTGGTTCCATTCTGGCCTGTCAGAGTTCAAGTGTCAGTGTGGAAGATACGTCGATGATGGCTCGAGGAGCATT